TTTATTTATTTATTTATTTATTTATTTATTTATTTATTTATTTATTTATTTATTTATTTATTTATTTATTTATTTATTTATTTATTTATTTATTTATTTATTTATTTATTTATTTATTTATTTATTTATTTATTTATTTATTTATTTATTTATTTATTTATTTATTTATTTATTTATTTATTTATTTATTTATTTATTTATTTATTTATTTATTTATTTATTTATTTATTTATTTATTTATTTATTTATTTATTTATTTATTTATTTATTTATTTATTTATTTATTTATTTATTTATTTATTTATTTATTTATTTATTTATTTATTTATTTATGTATTTATGTATTTATTTATGTATTTATGTATGTATTTATGTATGTATGTATGTATGTATGTATGTATGTGTTTATTTATTTATTTATTTATTTATTTATTTATTTATTTATTTATTTATTTATTTATTTATTTATTTATTTATTTATTTATTTATTTATTTATTTATTTATTTATTTATTTATTTATTTATTTATTTATTTATTTATTTATTTATTTATTTATTTATTTATTTATTTATTTATTTATTTATTTATTTATTTATTTATTTATTTATTTATTTATTTATTTATTTATTTATTTATTTATTTATTTATTTATTTATTTATTTATTTATTTATTTATTTATTTATTTATTTATTTATTTATTTATTTATTTATTTATTTATTTATTTATTTATTTATTTATTTATTTATTTATTTATTTATTTATTTATTTATTTATTTATTTATTTATTTATTTATTTATTTATTTATTTATTTATTTATTTATTTATTTATTTATTTATTTGTTTGTTTGTTTCCTATATACCAGACATATGGTACAGTTCAACTTGGCATACTAAAATGTTACATTCAACCAACAAGTCTATAAAACAACTCACTGATAAAGACTGAGGTAACTCTTGCTCAAGCCAGGCTAGCAGCTGTGGGATTTCCTGCTCTGTTACAAGATGGAGCTCGTCACACATTCTCCTGATGGATGTACCTGCACTAAAACCCTTGTCAATTTTGTTCTGGTCGTTGTGTAATCTTTATTTAATGAGAGCTATCAGATCTAAGTCACAACATTACGTTTTTGTCACATCGCGCGAACTTTGACACAGTTCTGTAACACAAGCAGTACAGATATCTTGAACCTACCTAGTGACCTGCAGTGTAGCCATCTTAAACCTACCTAGTGACCTGTAGTGTAGCCATCTTAAACCTACCTAGTGACCTAACGTGTAGCTATCTTAAACCTACCTATTGACCTAACGTGTAGCCATCTTAAACCTACCTATTGACCTAACGTGTAGCCACCTTAAACCTACCTAGTGACCTGACGTGTAGCCATCTTAAACCTACCTAGTGACCTGACGTGTAGCCATCTTAAACCTACCTAGTGACCTGACGTGTAGACATCTTAAACCTACCTAGTGACCTGACCATCCCTTGTGTAGCCATCTTAAACCTACCTAGTGATCTGACGTGTAGCCGTCTTAAACCTACCTAGTGACCTGACGTGTAGCCATCTTAAACTAACCTAGTGACCTGACGTGTAGCCATCTTAAACCTACCTAATGACCTGACGTGTAGCTATCTTAAACCTACCTTGTGACCTGACGTATGGCCATCTTAAACCTACCTAGTGACCTGACGTGTAGCCATCTTAAACCTACCTAGTGACCTGACGTGTAGCCATCTTAAACCTACCTAATGACCTGACGTGTAGCTATCTTAAACCTACCTTGTGACCTGACGTATGGCCATCTTAAACCTACCTATTGACCTGACGTGTAGCCATCTTAAACCTACCTAGTGACCTGACGTGTAGCCATCTTAAACCTACCTAGTGACCTGACGTGTAGCCATCTTAAACCTACCTAGTGACCTAACGTGTAGCTATCTTAAACCTACCTAGTGACCTGCAATGTAGCCATCTTAAACCTACCTAGTGACCTGACGTGTAGCCATCTTAAACCAACCTAGTGACCTAACGTGTAGCTATCTTAAACCTACCTAGTGACCTGCAATGTAGCCATCTTAAACCTACCTAGTGACCTGCAATGTAGCCATCTTAAACCTACCTAGTGACCTGACGTGTAGCCATCTTAAACCTACCTAGTGACCTGACGTGTAGCCACCTTAAACCTACACAGTGACATGACGTGTAGCCACCTTAAACCTACCTATTGACCTGACGTGTAGCTATCTTAAACCTACCTAGTGACCTGACGTGTAGCTATCTTAAACCTACCTAGTGACCTGACGTGTAGCTATCTTAAACCTACCTAGTGACCTGACGTGTAGCTATCTTAAACCTACCTAGTGACCTGACGTGTAGCCATCTTAAACGTACCTAATGACCTGACGTGTAGCCATCTTAAACCTACCTAGTGACCACGGTTACCTTTTCATAGTACGGCTTACATTTGACAATTTAAATCTACACTAATATAAGGTCAAGAAAATGAAAACTATTTTTAACTTTTAGTCTCCCGTATATTAAACAGGTATGTGTATAAGGATGTATGATATTGTGCGAAATGTTAAAGTCACTTACAAATAACATGACAATTTTTTTTCTTATTTCTTTTTTTTTTTTAGTACTGGATTTTAAGTACAACTTAAACCCACTTGCCGCTACCAGGAACTCCGTACACCAATGTGCCACATAACCGAGTACTAAAATACTGTCATAATAAAATAATGTAAAACTTTCCAATCAACGTTTATCAGATAGGTATATCTCGGGCAGATGTGGCTCGCTAGCTGGGGACAGCCACTCTTCTAGGAGAGACAACTCCAAAATCAAACAACTGCTGCCTTATAGTTTATTTTTGGTTGGACAAAGGCCATGGAAGCAAATCCAAAAAGAAAAGCAGGCTGAAATCGGAGCTCAACGGCGCATAACTAGTTGACACGTATCCTTAATTGTGTTAGAGGGGATCCCTTCCAACACTAAAATTAAAAACGAAGAAGAAGAAGATAGGTATATAAGACAATTTTTTTTTTAAAACAAAAACAAAAATTCTGTTTATTTGACAGAAAAGTCTTTTGATTATTCCAATTTATAATTTATATTCCCTCCCCTCTCTCTTGCTGCCGTATAGCTCGCTAATTTATACATGCCACGCATCTTTGTCCTTTGTCCCTCTAAACAATGCTAGGTGTAAGAAATCATTGAGGTGTTTGCCTCAAGTTCCTGGCCCCAGGTCTCTAATTACCTGGGTAGACATTGCAGGGGTGGTTATGTGAGACTTGCATGAAGTTGGCTGATCCTTTACCAAGTGTTGCGGAACTGACAAAATTATTTTATGTACCTCTAGGTATTCCTCTGATCATCCACGCAATAAAACTTACCTGGCATCCTTCTAGCTAACACAGTCATATTTTATGAGCACTTAATCTGTCTAAAATAATGATTTTGACATTTTTAAAGCATGGTTGCAGCTGATGTATATATTGTGACGGTAATTTTATTCTACACCCCATCGCCTCTTCCACCCTTCTCTCCCCCCCCCCTCCCCCGGGTCAGTTGGAATCCCAGGACCGTTAGACTGTTCCGTAGCTAGATCTACAGTGTGACTCACGCCAAAGACGAAAAGGCTTATGGGACCGGCCGTCGCTGGTGCGATAAAAGGACCGGTAACCGATGACCTAGGTCCTTTTTTTAAACTAACCACTGCCCTTGCTTAGCCCACCTGCGCGCGAACCCTACCGTGGGTTAAAGGTCTCCAAGAAATTAGCAGTTATCGCAGCTTTACAGATGGTGTTTGATGATTTTAAGAAACTAGAAATCTATATCAACCTTTTATTGGCATGTCTTTTATTATCAGCATTTGATTTAATTTTACTGTTATCCAAATTGTTATAATTTCTCTCAACTTGTGTTGTATTAAATTATTATCTCTTAGTACTATATCCCACGCCATTGTTCTATCCTACACGTGTATCGCTAGCTACGTTATTTATGTTAGCAATATTTAGTAGGCCATGCCTTCTATTTACAGCGTCCTAGGTCGGGGACCAAACCATTCCAATGCTATTGTAATAGACAAGGCGAGCGCATGTGTACTCGCTTGAAGTTTAAGCTATTGATAAAGTCATGTATATGTATAATCCAAATCCACAATTAAGACAACAGTACAACTTATGATGTGGGACGGAGTGGTCTAGCTCTCTAACCCGTAAGTCTCAAGTTCGAATCCGGGTTCAAGTCAGTAGACCGTCCCTGAGTCCACCCAACGCTGATGGGTACCTAACTCTCGTTAGGGAAAATAAAGACGGCTGGGCATAGTGCTAACAACACTATCTCTTCATATGCCGAGGTCACAGAAACAAGTGAACTCTACTTCACTTGCCCCTTAGACCGTCAGGTTTAAAAGGGAATCTTTTTACAACTTATGACATACATATTACTGTTGATCTTCTATAATAAATCTACTCATACTGTTATGGGTGATTAGTGTTATTATTTTACCATTAGTAATATTACATTCCCGGTAGTGGAGCGACTCAGACCTCCTACCGCGTGAATATTCAGACCTCCTACCGCGTGAATATACACATTTTGCTGATTGTTTATCTATTATAAACGGTACAATTATACCTTTTACAGTTTTTATATATATATATATATATATATATATATATATATATATATATATATATATATATATATATATATATATATATATATATATATATGACTCCTAACTAATAGACTATAGGATGATTGCGCATTGGAATTCAAGCACAAAGTCTGGGTCCTATGTTGAGAACAACCAGATGTTGCCGATGTATCAGGCACCATTTCTCCAACCGGCTGATTGACCCAATAGACAGGGCGTTACCGATACAGTTTGGAATTAACAGTGTCACAGGAGCAGCCGAAAGGAAACTAGTTGATATATTAAACTTACTTATAGTCTAATTACAACCAAATATTTTAACTCATCTTGTGATATCCCAGAGTGTATTTACTTGATTACAAATGTTACAACCTAAGGTCTCTCATAAATGAACTCGTGTATAAGGAACATTTTTTTGTGAATCTGAGAAATACTTGAAACTGGCACCTTGTTCTGCACGAAATATTTTTTACTTGGTAAAGTTTTAACTAACCCATAAAATAATTGGCAATTCTTTCACATCTATAAATAAACCTCAGCTTATAAACTGAATGTCAAATGCATCTCACAACACGAAAGCTGCAGCGTAGTGTTATGTTGGAGTGTAGCTAATTACTTTTATTGTGTCGATATTCTTAAATCCAACTTTTTCAAACAACTTAATTGATTGGATGTTGTTCGTCTGACAGTAGGCAACACACGGGAGGTCAAGGTCGAAGTAAGCCTTAGATATCCCACGTAGCAGTATCTGACCCAAGCCGTGTCGTCTCATTTCTGGAACCACGTAAAGAATTCCAACTGTTCCTTGTGGTGTGCCGACCACGTGACCTAAACATTGGCCAGACCTAGTTGATTCAAAAAATCTTTGATTTCACCATACGAAGGACACAAATGGATAGGGCGTGACCTAACGGTAGACCGCTTGAATGCTAACCAGAAATAGCAATATAAACATAAAGTGATATTTCAGCGCCGAGGATTTCAATTACATACCCTTGGCGTTGAAATATCACTTTCTGTTAACATTGCTATTTCAGTCAAAACGCCTGCTTCCACCCCCTCTACTAGAATGCAAACCAGAAATTCTCGGGTTCGAATCCGGGTTCAACTTAGTAGAACGTTTATGAGTCCACCCAGCAGCTCTAATGGGTACCTAACTCATGAAAGAAGAAGTAAGGGCGGCTGGGCATAGTGCTGACCACACTTTCCCTACATTTGTGAGGTAACAGAAACAGGGGAAACTGTTGACCTCTACCCTCCTCCCCCCCCCCCCCCCCCCCCCCAGGTTCGAGAAAGGAACTTACTTTTTTTAAATATTCTTGGTTTGAAAATTGATGACTCGTATTTAACGGTTTTATGTATTTTATATCAAACAAAATTGAAAAAAAAATGGAATTAATTGCAAGGACAAAGAAACCACCTAATAGAGACATCACGTACCTAACAAAGACACGACGTACCTAACAAAGACACGACGTACCTAACAAAGACACGACGTACCTAACAAAGACACGACGTACCTATCAAAGACCCCACAAGAAGGGAAGTGGAGAGCAAGTTGTTCCATATATTTCTCCGAGTGCTCGGTTTTATACGACCAGGTCGAGTTCATACAGGCAGCGTCTCGTTTTGGTTCCAGAGGGGAGATAATCAGGTCGTCTGGTACTTGGCTGCTGCAGGTGGCAAAATATTTATGTTAACGAGTTAGAGTTTATCTAAATATACTAAATATATTCATGACTAAAAAATAAATCAATGAAATCCCCAAAATTTCATGGCGATCAGGTGAACGGTGTCAACCCGCAATCGACTTTTATTTTTGTATACCATATTGAGAGATTAATAAATGGCGCCCTGCCGGGACACCATGCATGCAAATACTCCCTGGGAGTATTCGCAACAAATTGCCAAAGTTTCATGACGATCGGATGAAAGGTGTAGTAATGCAGTCATTCACACAGACGCACACAGACACACATTTACTACTATATATATATATATATATATATATATATATATATATATATATATATATATATATATATATGTATATATATATATATATAAACATATATATATAAATATATATATATATATATATATATATATATATATATATATATATATATATATATATATATATATATATATAGTGTATAGAGGACAAATGCAATACGACCTCTTTTTTCTGAAATCGATGTACATTTCTACTTACATTGTCAATAATACAAGCTGCAAAAAAACTAGTTGGAAACTATTTGGAACCAGCTTTTCAAGCCTATTATATAAAAGCATGTTATATAAACGCTGTTTATTATAGTTTTTTTAAACAATTTGTAGGCTGTATAGCGTCATGAAACAGAGACATGATTAATTTCATTCATGTACCTTGTAATGACGTCATCCTTTGGTGCCATCATGGTGTAAAACGTCAACTCGTGAAGCTCGTATGAAAATCTTGACTGGAACAATTCATGGATTCCTGACGTTAGTGCATCTGGGAATTCTGAACAGGATAAAAGACTTCAAAAGACAATGTAATCAAACTAAATTTTTGAAAAAAATCTTTTTAAAAATATGGCAAGCGATAGAATTATATTTACATTTTTTAAAAACTAAAGCCGTTTGGGAACCACCGATTACACTTATTTTCATATTTTTCTATTGAAGATAAGCCGTTGAAAACCCGTTAAGAATTATTTTATCAAATTAAATATTTTTTTTTTAAAACATGTCCTCAACCTCTCCAGTCAACCAGAATACTCTGGGAGAATAAAAATAAATTACTTTTATATTACTAGTAATTATTTCTTTGACTATTTCTAGCCTTTATAAAACTGGAAGTCATTTTGCACTTATTACACAAATGTTTTAAAATATTCAATTTTGGTTGAAAATTATGATTTATTGCAACAAAAATATGGAACCATTGGGAACCAGCATTTCAAGCGTATTCACAATTGCTTTAAATGCATCTGTATCTAGTCAGATTAAGCATTAAAAATTTCAATAAAAACAATTTGACTTGCAATAAATGAATTAGTTTATATTACTCATATAGTTTGATGGAATTTATGAAAAAGTGTAAAACCTGACTTCTTTAATTAACCTGACAACAAGCAGCCAATACTCACGAAAAATGGCCGGTTTGTTCCAGTCAACAATTCCTGGCGATGTCAACAAAACCTGCGCTGATTTAGCGTCGCGGGCGTACAGAAAAATGTAGACTCTGTTTTTAAAGTAGTCATAACACTGAAAGAAAACTCATATACAGTGATTTCCCCTTTTTACATTCTTTATAATCCTATCTCGGTCTACACATAACTGTTTGTCGAACTCACCCCACAGTTGAGGTCAGTACTACCAGTGGCCGCTGCTTGTATGTTTGGCCATCCGATGGTGTAGAACTGATATCCTGGCCAGTTTAATCTGGTATTTTCTTTGACAACACCGTAAAGCTGGTGGTGGATATAGCTAGGTCAATACATGGGGCGTCACGTGCTGGGGTGGATACATATGTATACTTGGTATACAGGAATTGGTATGGGATATGAATAACGATAGGGAAAAGGAAATTTGATACGGAATTATATAGAGGAATCTATAGGGTGAAATGATATAGAAAATTAAACGGGATATGGACAGAAACAATGAAATTAATGGATTTAAAATAAAGATTGCGATAGAAATAAAGAAAATAATATGGATAGTTACAGGAATTGGTTAGGAATAGAGATAGTGATAAAGAAAACTAAATCGGATCGGGAATAGATTGGGAAATAGAAAAAATTAGTTAAAACGAAAGGGATAGGGAAAGATATAGGGAAAAATAATATGTCTAACAAAGGGATAGAGATAACTTTATCTATAGACATAATGATAAGGATGGCGATTAGGTATGATGGAAAGGGACAAGAAAAGTGAAAATGGATGAGAATAATTATAGTAATAGGGGTAGGAATAGCTATAATGATTGAGATTGGGATATATTTCTGTTTAGAATTATGTTTGGATTTGGATTCTTTTTTTATTTGGTTGTGGTTAAGGTTAGTGTTATGAATATTTTCTAAAGGCATTTTAATTGAAAACGGTATATGCTGCTAGTTAGTGATAAAAGACATTTAAGTCAACTATCACAGTAACCTACATCGGGTCATATTGAAATTTTACATTCAACAAGTCTGTCAACAACTCACCGCGTAAGACTGAGGTAACTCTTGCTCAAGCCAGGCTAGCAGCTGTGGGATTTCCTGCTCTGTTACAAGATGGAGCTCGTCACACATTCTCCTGATGGATGTACCTGCACTACAACCCCTGTCAACTCGGTTCTGGTCGTTGTGTAATCTTTATTTAACGAGAGCAGCCAGATCTAAATCACAGCATTACGTTTTTGTCACATCACGCGAACTTTGACACAGTTCTGTAACACAATCTGTACCGCCATCTTAAACCTACCTAGTGACCTGTTGTGTAGATATCTTGAACATACATAGTGACCTCAGGTGTAGCCATCTTAAACCTACCTAGTGACCACAGATACCACACCATAGTCCGGCTGAAAATTGACGATTCAGTCTATGCTTATATAAAATCAAGAAACTGAAAACAATTTTTACCTTTTAGCCTCGCGTATATTAAACAGATATATGTATAAGGAGGTATGATAATGTGTGCGAAACGTTAAAGTTTTTTTTTTAGTACTGGATTTTATGCAGAGGCGTAACGAGTGGGTGGGGGCGGGGGTGCGGACCGAGTGACACCATTTAGGGGGGTGACACCAAGGCAAAAAATAGTAAAATATATAGAGAAAAATAGAGGGGGGTGCAAATCAAAAGTTTGAGGGGGGTGCAAATCTTAAGTTCGAGGGGGGGTGCAAATCGAAAATTTGAAAGTTTGTACCCAGGAAGGGTCGCTACGCCACTGGGGGGTGACACCATTAAGTGCCGCACCAGGTGGCACCCGACCTCGCTACGCCACTGATTTTTTGTACAACTCAAATCCACTTGCCTCGCCAAGGAACTCAGTACACGGGGATGCCACATAAGCAAGTATTAAAATAAATAATAATAAAATATTGTAAAAATAAATTCTTTCAAAGTTTATCACATAGGTATATCTCGGGCAGATGCCTTGTAGTTTGTTCTTGGTTGGATAAAAGCTATGGAAGCCAATCCAAAAAGAAAAGCAGGCTGAAATCGGAGTCAATGGCCTCAACGGAGAGTTGACACGTAAACTTAATTTGTGTTGGAGGGGATCCCTACCAACACTAAAATTAACAACGAAGAAGAAGAAGATAGGTATTAGAGACAATAATTTAAAACAAAAAGAAAATTCTGTTTATTTGACAGAAAAGTCTTTTGATTATTCCAATTTATAATTTATATTCCCTCCCCTCTCTCTTGCTGCCATACAGCTCGCCAATCCAGACATGCCACACATCTTTGTCATGTGTTCCTCTCTCTAAACAATGCTAGGTGTAAGAAATCATTGAGGTGTTTGCCTCAAGTTCCTGGCCCCAGGTCTCTAATTACCTGGGTAGACATTGCAGGTGTGTTGAGGTGAGACTGGCATAAAGTTGGCTGATCCTTTACCAAGTGTTGCGGAACTGACAAAATTATTTTATGTACCTCTAGGTATTCCTCTGATCCTCCACGCAATAAAACTTACCTGGCATCCTTCTAGCTAACACAGTCATATTTTATGAGCACTTAATCCGTCTAAAATAATGATTTTGACATTTTTAAAGCATGGTTGCAGCTGATGTATATATTGTGACGGTAATTTTATTCTACACCCCATCGCCTCTTCCACCCTTCTCTCCCCCCCCCCCCCTCCCCCGGGTCAGTTGGAATCCCAGGACCGTTAGACTGTTCCGTAGCTAGATCTACAGTGTGACTCACGCCAAAGACGAAAAGGCTTATGGGACCGGCCGTCGCTGGTGCGATAAAAAGACCTAACTAAACTAACCACTGCCCTTGCTTAGCCCACCTGTGCGCGAACCTTACCGTGGGTTAAAGGTCTCCAAGAATTTAGCAGTTATCGCTGCTTTACAGACGGTATTTGATAATTTTAAGAAACTAGAAATCTATATCAACCTTTTATTGGCATGTCTTTTATTATCAGCATTTGATTTAATTTTACTATTATCCAAATTTATTATAATTTCCCTCAACTTGTGTTGTATTAAATGATTATCTCTTAGTACTATATCCCACCCCATTGTTCTATCCTTCACGTGTATCGCTAGCTACGTTATTTATGTTAGCAATATTTAGTAGGCCATGCCTTCTATTTACAGCGTCCTAGGTCGGGGACCAAACCATTCCAATGTTATTGTAATAGACAAGGCGAGCGCATGTGTACTCGCTTGAAGTTTAAGCTATTGATAAAGTCATGTATATGTATAATCCAAATCCACAATTAAGACAATAGTACAACTTATGATGTGGGACGGAGTGGTCTAGCTCTCTAACACGTAAGCCTCGAGTTCGAATCCGGGTTCAAGTCAGTAGACCGTCCCTGAGTCCACCCAACTCTGATGGGTACCTAACTCTCGTTAGGGAGAATAAAGACGGCTGGGCATAGTGCTGACAACACTATCTCTTCATATGCCGATGTCACAGAAACAAGTGAACTCTACTTCACTTGCCCCTTAGACCGTCAGGTTTAAAAGGGAATCTTTTTACAACTTATGACATATATATTACTGTTGATCTTCTATAATAAATCTACTCATACTGTTATGGGTAATTAGTGTTATTATTTTACCATTAGTTATATTACATTCTCGGTAGTGGAGCGACTCAGACCTCCTACCGCTTGAATATACACATTTTGCTGATTGTTTATCTGTTATAAACGGTACAATTATACCTTTTACAGTTTATATATATATATATATATATATATATATATATATATATATATATATATATATATATATATATATATATATATATATATATATGTGTGTGTGTCTCCAAACTAATAGACTATAGGATGATTGCGCATTGGAACTCAAGCACAAAGTCTGGTTCCTATGTTGAGAACAACCAGATGTTGCCGATGTATCAGGCACCATTTCCTCAACCGGCTGATTGACCCAATAGACAGGGCGTTACCGATACAGTTTGGAATTAACAGTGTCGCAGGAGCAGCCGAAAGGAAACTAGTTGATATATTAAACTTACTTATAGTCTAATTACAACAAAATATTTTAACTCATCTTGTGATATCCCAGAGTGTATTTACTTGATTACAAATGTTACAACCTAAGGTCTCTCATAAATGAACTCGTGTATAAGGAACATTTTTTTGTGAATGTGAGAAATACTTGAAACTTGCAAATGGTTCTGCACGAATTGTTTTTTACTTGGGAAAGTTTTAACTGACCCATAAAATAATTGGTCATTCTTTCACATCTATAAATAAACCTCAACTTATAAACTGAATGTCAAATGCATCTCACAACACGAAATGCAGCGTAGTGTTATGTTGGAGTGTAGCTGATTACTTTTATTGTGTCGATATTCTTAAATCCAACTTTTTCAAACAACTTAATGGATTGGATGTTATTCGTCAGACAGTAGGCAACACACGGGAGGTCAAGGTCGAAGTAAGCCTCAGATATCCCACGTAGCAGTATCTGACCCAGGCCGTGACGTCTCATTTCTGGAACCACGTAAAGAATTCCAACGGTTCCTTGTGGTGTGCCGACCACGTGACCTAGACATTGACCAGACCTGGTTAAAACAAGACAAAATTTAGTGCATCAAATATCTTTGATTTCCCTATGCTAAGGACACTAATGTGTTGGGATTTATCTACAGCGATAGAATGCTAGCCCGAAAGTCTCGAGTTCGAATCCGGGTTCAAATAAGTAGAACGTTTCTGAGTCCATCCAGCTCTAATGGGTAACTAACTCATGTAAGAAAGACAAGACGTACCTATCAAAGACACCACTTATCGAAGACGCCACGTAACAAAGACACCACGTACCTATCAAAGACACGACGTACCTATCAAAGACCCCACAAGAAGGGAAGTGGAGAGCAAGTTGTTCCATATATTTCTCCGAGTGCTCGTTTTTATACGGCCAGGTCGAGTTCATACAAGCACCGTCTCGTTTTGGTTCCAGAGGGGAGATAATCAGGTCGTCAGGTAATTGGCTTCTGCAGGTGGCAAAATATTAACGTTAATGAGCTAGAGTTTATCTGAGTATATCAATGACTAAAAAAATAAATCAATGAAATCCCCAAAGTTTCATGGCGATCGGGTGAACGGTGTCAAACCGCAATCGACTTTTATTTTTATATACCATATTGAGAGATTAATAAATGGCGCCCTGCCGGGGCACCATCCATGCGAAAACTCCCTGGGAGTTTTTGCAACAAATTGCCAAAGTTTCATGACGATCGGATGAAAGGTGTAGTAATGCAGTCGTAAACACACACACATATATTAAAAAAAATTATATATATATATATATATATATATATATATATATATATATATATATATATATATATATATATATATATATATATATATATCGAGTGTATAGAGGACAAATGCACTATGGCCTCTTTTTTAATGAAATCGATGTACATTTCTACTTATACTGTCAATAATACACGCTACAAAAAAACTAGTTGGAAACTATTTGGAACCAGCTTTTTAAGCCTATTATATAAAAGCATGTTTATTTGTTATTATAGTTTTTTATAGGTTTTTTTAGTAGTTTTTTTTTTTAGTTATTATAGTTTTTTAAACAATGAGTAGGCTGTATAGCGTCATGAAATAGAGACATGATTAATTTCATTCATGTACCTTGTAATAACGTCATCCTTTTGTGCCATCATGGTGTAAAACGTCAACTCATGAAGCTCGTATGAAAATCTTGACTGGAACAATTCATGAATTCCTGACGTTAGTGTATCTGGGAATCCTGAAAAGGATAAAAGACTTAATAAGTCTATGTAATCATACTAAATTTGTGAAAAAATCATTTTAAAAATATGGCAAGCGATAAAATTATATTTACATTTTTAAAAACCTAAAGCCGTTTGGGAACCATCAATTACAATTATTTCCATATTTTTCTATTGAAGATAAACCGTTGAAAAGCCGTTTAGAATTATTTCATAAATTCAAAAATTTTCAAAAACTGTCATCAGCCTCTCTAGTCAACCAGAATAACCAAGGAGAGTAAAAAACAAATTACTATTATATTAATAGTAATTATTTATTTATCTATTTCTAGCCTTAATAAAACCGGAAGTCGATTTGCACTTATTACACAAATGTTATAAAATATTCAATTTTGGTTGAAAATTTTTGCTTTCTTGGAACCAT